CATCAGCAATAGCTCTTGTCCAGATCCTCTTCTGAACCTTGCTTGAATCTCTGGCAGCTCCTTGTCGTGTAATGCTGCTACCATCTTTGGATGATCTTCAGCAAAAGTTTACTTGCATGTGATATTATTCTATAATTTGAGCATTCTGTTGGGTCACTTTCTTTGAAAATGGGTGCAAATATGGATCTCTTCCAGTTAGTTGGCCAAGAAGCCGTCTTCCATATTTCTTGGCACAATGAGTGCTTCTAGTGCTACATCAGCCTGTTAAACCATCTCAATTCATATTCCACCAATTCCTACAGCCCTTTGTTTTCAGCTAATGCTTTCAGTGCAGCTTGGACTTATTCCTTCAGTACCATTTGTTCTAGTTCATATGCTATCTCTTGAAATAATGTAGTGAAATTTTTGGTATAGTCTTTTTGGTACAGTTAATATATACTCGAGTATAAACCAACCCAAATATTAGCCGAGGCACCTACTATACTCTGTGTATTCTTTTCATTTAGTTTGACAATTTCCATACTATTTAATATTTTGCCTGTAGAATGCTTCAATATTGTAACTTGAGGCTCGACTTTTTTCTTGAGATCTTTCAGTTTAAGATATGCTGTGAATGCTCTTCTTTTTCAGTTGTCGAACTCTGGGGCTTTGAACCTTTCATTATATTACTTTGTCTCCTTGAGCTGCTCTTTGAAATTTTGTTTAACTTTTTGACTTCTTATTTCTTCCATTTGCTTTAGCTACTTTACCATTAAGAGCACATTTGAGAGTCTCTTCTGACATACACACTGCTCTACTTTCCTTTCCTGTCTTTTTAATTACCATTTACTTTCTTCGTGTACGATGTTCTTGATGTCCTCCAGCAGTTCACCAGGTCTTCTGTAGTGTTTAATGAATCAAATCTGTCCTTAAGATGTTTTTGAACTCAGGAGGGATATACTCAAGGTGGTATTTTGGCTTTCACAGATTTGTGTTAATTTTCCTCAGACTGAAACTGAACTTCCACATGGGAAATGGATGGTCTATTCCATAGTCAAGCCCTGGCTTAGTTTTAGGTGCTGCTTTTGAGCTTCTTCATAGTGGCTTCCCACAGATGTCGTCAATTTGATTTTGTGTATTCCATGTGGAAAATCCCACTAGTATAGTCATCTTTTATATTATTGAGAAAGGTATTTTCAATGAACAAATCATCGGTCTTATACAATTGTATCTGCAATCACTGGCTTCACTCCATCACAAAGACTATTTTCCAACAGCTGTTCCTTCTTCTTTGCTTCTAACTTTTGCAGTCTAACTTATGCCAATAATTACTGATTGCATGTTGATCAATTTGATTGCATGTTGATCAATTTCACACTGAAGATGGTGGTAGAATTCTTCAATTTCATCCTCACTAGCTTTTTTGGTGGTGCATATATTTGAATACTAGTTGTACTGAATGGATTTCCCTGTATAGGAATAGATATAATCCTATCACAGAAAACATCGCACTTCAGAATAAATCTTGAAGTGTACCTTTTGATTATGAATGCAAAGCTAGTCCCTGTCAATCTGTCACTCTGGCAATAGTAAACCAAATGGTGTTCTGACATTAGTCTATTTCAGCTCACTAACGCCTAGAATGATGATCTTTATGTGTTCCATTTCATTTTTGGAAGTTTCCACCTTTCCTAGATTCTTACTTTGTAATTCCAAGTTCCAATCATTAATTGATGTTTTCAGCTTCTTTTCATTTTGTTTTGTGCTCCATCAACAAGCAAAAGTCTTGAAGGTTTTTACTCCTACAAACTTTAGCACGCCATTATGGTCGAGTCTACTTTGAGAAGGTAACTCTCTCCAGTAATATTTGGAGTGCTTTCTGACCTGGAGCTTCATATTCCGGCACGATCTCTAACAATGTTTTGCTTCAGTTCATGAGGTTCTCAGTAATGGATAATGTTTTGATGCTGTCCAGAGGGTTCACGAAATCTAAATCATCAGACGCAGAGAGCCTATTCCTTTTGGGTAGTTTTTTCTTAGTCTGGAAGTTCTGCTGAAATCTATTGACTTCGGATGACCCCACTGGGATTTGAAATAGCAGTGGCATAGCATCCAGCATCACAGTACCATACAGGTCACTTCAGTATGTCAAACTGACAGGCAAGTGGTAGATAATTATAAATAGTGTTTCATCATTACATAGCTATGTTATTGATAATAGTCTTATTTATTGTATTCACTATTATGTAATTATAGTCTCTGTGTAGTACAAGTGACTTATGTTCAATCAGTAACCTATGTTTGACTATTTGAATCCACCTAGTAGTGCCTTTCATAATGATTATAAATAACATAATTATGTCATAGATGTTCTCTCTAACACATGAATTTTCCATGATTTGGAATTCATTTAACTTCAGCAGATTTAGTTTTTGTATTATATGACTTAATCGATCCTTTGGTTAATAGCCAATGAACTACTTGAAGATCATATTGCTGTCTTTCATCTAACCAGTTGCCATGAATTAATTCTGACTCATGCTAACCCCACGTGGTCAGAGTAGAACTTTTTAGTGGTTTCAATGGCTGATTTTTTCAGATGTGGATTGTCAGGGTCTTTCATCCAAGATTCTGCTAGCTGGATTTGAAGAGTCGGCTTTCAGTTAGCAATGCAGCATATTTCACCACCCAAGGACAATTGCTGTCTGCTTTCTTGACTATATGTGAAGCTCTACAGGTGTGCGAGAGACTGTTCAACCTAAGTAAAGAATGTGTACTCCACATGTTCTGCCCCCTCCCCCTTTAGATCAGTGCAGTAAATCAATGCTTCTTACTTCCATTGGATCACTGTAACCTGGCACACACAGTTTACTATTCCCTTGTTGGCTTCATCCTGCCTAACAGGAGATTTGGTCAATCTAATTTGTGGTGGCCTTGATGTTGCTAGTACATTTTATTTTTGGGGTTTTTAGCTTACTAATGGGTTTTTAGAAATATATTTTGCTATGCTAACCTCAAAATATTCAAACACATTATGCATTGGTTAGGGTAGTTCTCATGGTTGCTTTCAAGTGAACTGCATTTTTTGGCTTACTTCATCCTTAGTTTAATAACTTATTTTATTAGAGCACTGGAATGCATTCACTTGGGAATATATTTCACTTTGGACCTATAGAGATTATTATCCCTTTTCTACAATACACAATTCATTTGAATATTTACAATTGATTTTTTGAAGAAATGTCTGTGGATGTGTTCACACGCGTGAGTGGGCGTACTCAGCACATACACACATGTGGACATGCTGTACTCTAGTGAAAAACAAGGCCAGAGTGTCTACGAATCATCACTGAGGTGGAGAAAAGGTCATTCTGTATGGCATATGAGTGGGATAGAAATTCAGTAATCTGACGGGAAACACAATTTAATAAACTGGAAAAGGACTAAATATTATTACTAACATAATTAATTTCTCTAGTAACAAAATTCTACATTTGGGTTTTTCCCCATAGCAATAAAGGAAATTCAGATTGGAAAACAATACTCAGGACTAAGGAAAATTACTTCATTCCTAAGAGCACATTAGCTGGAGTCATCACATTTTAATGGAAGGACACATGCTGTTGTCTAGGAGACAGATGTCAAAGGAGTGACCACAATGGGATCTCATCCGAAAAAGAGGCTTAAAAAGAAAGAGCAAACAGATGATGGTATCTCAGAAGGGAAAGGGACTGTACACAGATGAATCTCTGTATCAGAAACATGAAATGAAGGCTTGGAAAACGACTTAAACCTTGGAAAGTCACGAGATTTCCAAGTAATGCATACAAGTAATGTAACAATGGATGACAGCTACTATGACTGTCTAGATTAGAAATTGTGTAAATGAAGAGTGTCTTTTAATTGCTTCTCTTAATTTCCTCATACAATTTTCCTACTTAATTATTTCCTACTTGATTATGTATAAAGCTTTGTAGAAATGACATTGCACAGAAGTAAACTATTGAATATGATGGCTTCCAAAAACACATACTATCGAATTTATCCTATTTTATAGGATATTAGATCAGTATGCTGGCATTTCTCCATCAATCTAAACATTGTATCTAACTTACTATATCTAGAGCTCAACACAGCAATTCTGAGTGGGTATATTTGAAAAAAATCATTCATAGAATTTTGGGTTTTTTTTTAAATCCCAAAGTAATATAAATAACCTTTCATGAGCTGACTTTTATCTGTAAAGCAGAACAAATCAAGGGCACTCTGTATTTGATTGTTATGGATCTGGCTTAAGTAGAATACATATAGAGAATGCTACCGAATTAAATTGAAGAGCTTAATGTTCAAAGGAATGACTTAGAGAATGATGATGAATACTTGGAATTATTCATTATCTGTCTTGATAGCTTGCATATTGCAAGCCATTATTTTAACTTCACTGCAAGGTTGCTAATGAGATCCAAAACCATGAGCTCCAAGAGCCAGATGTTAGGCTCAGCATTCTGGATGACTTTCTGGCATTAGGATAAGATTTCACAATTGAAATAGTTTCCCCTTTGAAGAGTGGATATTAAGATATATACTTGACAGTCTTCAAGAGAATGAAGTTGGGAATAAAAAGCAATCATATATCATTGAGTGCCACTAAGTCTATTCCAACTCCGAGTGACCGTAGAGCACAGAGTAGAGCTGCCCTTTGTGGTTCTGAGTTGAAAATCGTTACAGGAACAGAAAGCCTTGTCTTCTTCTCATGGGGCATCTGGTGGATTCAAACTGTTGACCTTGCAGTTAGCAGTCCAATATGTAACTCACTGCACTACCAGGACTCCTAAAACGATCTTATACTTGACTAATATATCAGGAAAAGTAGCACACCCCTTTGAAGGAAATGAGTAAGCTTAGCTGAGAAGAGAAAACAACAAGAATAACAATAAAACAAAAAGAGATGCATGCTTTTTTTATAGGAGTTTCTTTTAAAATGGTAAATGTCATTAGAAATACACACAAAAATTTGCTACCTTTTCCAGAAGTTGGCGAAGCTGCCTGCTTTTGGCATCACGAGAACAAAGGTTCTGTTCTGGAGCAACCACAGTGCAAATGCATCGTCCATCGGGATCCTGTGCTGAACTGTACACTTGCCACCCTTCCTTGGGGCTAATCTGAGTCTGACAAAAAACACACAAACCACAGATCACCGTGACAGGATGAAGATCACCATTGGATACATTTATAGCTCTTAAAACAAAAATATCTTTCCTGATAGTTTGTCTTTTCACTCTTTTACATTCAAAGAGAGTGTTTAAACAATATTCATACCAGCATAGTTTCATTTAGTTACACTTTCTTATCATTATCCCTAAGAAGAATATTTCTTTCATGCTTTACAGTCCCATATCATAACTTCCTAATGCTTTTTAACACAACTCTCTAATGGTTTTTGGTCAGATTTTGCCATGTTAATACCACTGTAGAAGCATCATATAACTGCTCCACCACACAGGACCAGGCTTTTTGCAAAATATCCATTAGCTGTTCCTTGTCAACACTAGGGATTAATGAGTAGGTTTTTCTTTTCAGATTACTATTTATGGATGGTATTTTAAAGCAATTCCTGGTTTCAAGAAGCTTCAAATGTATTGAAGGGCCAATTACTTACAAAGCATTAAAGATATTGTATGAAGATAGAGGATAAATATAATTAGATCAACACTGTTTTGCAAAGGATGCAGGTCCACAGAAGGACTAAAGAGAATCTTTTAGCCTAGTCTGCCAAAATGATCTTCCCAAATTACCACTGGGCACATATCACACTACTTCCTAGAACACTAGCTCAGTGTGGCAGTCACATTCCACTGCAATCTGACTCCTTTATTTTCTTACTAGTTGTGGTAATGACAGGATATTATGTAATTGCCACACTAGTCTTATCGCCTATGCTTTCCTACGGGCACCTTCTTTCTAGGTAAACTGTTCTATGTGTGTCTTGCAAACATACCTCATTAATTCATGTCTTTTTAGGGCACTCATTTTAGTTCTTTCACTTTGATTCTGTCCTTCATAAACCATTAATTTTACCCAGATTTTGTCAAATTCTCCCTGATCTGAAGAATTGTCCTACCATTATTTTGGCATTCAAAGTGTATTGTCTTCTTGTTTTATTCTATATCTCATTCCAAAGTTTATGCCGAGGTAGTCGAAGTCTTGGATGTTTCTTACCTGTCCTACTGTTACCTGAAAACTGGACTTAGAACCTGGAGCAACACAGCCAATAAGTTGACTCCACGGTAGAGTAGAAAAGAGAGTTTATAATGAAGTGATACCAACGGCGAATCTGACAGAGCCTAAATTAGCTCACACCAGTTATGTTTCCATAAAAGCTAAAAATCACATCTACCATTTAATTTCTAAGGATGAGTATTTCTCAAGTAAGTTTGCTTAATTAGATCTAAATGTGTGACGCATTTGGCTGCTGACCACAAGCTGCACTGCGGGAGAAAAATGAGGCGTTCAGGTCCTGTAAAGATTTACAGTCTCTGAAACACATGGGGTCATTCTACTCTGTCCTTTCGGGCTGTTATGAGTCAATTAACTCCACAGTAGTAAGAGTAGCATAATTTTTGAACTGTTATCTAGCAAATGTTCTGCTGCAACTATAAATTTTATCTATAGTCAAGGGAGAGTCAAGTTTTTCAAAGTTGACCCTTTTTGGAATATTACATGTTAGCATCCTCAATTCTTGGACTTCAGGATTTTTATTTTTAATATATTTTTATACATTGAGACATCAAATATCAAGTGTATTATACAAATTGTACAGATATGCATCCCTGATGTTTGACTGTGATCAGCAAGTTCCAAAGTTCAAAACCATCATGACACTTGGAGAAAGAAAGATGAGGCTTTCTACTCATGCAAACTCAGAAACTCACAGGGGCAGTTCTACCTCATCCTATAGACTCAATGGCAGTGAGTGTTCATTTTTTTGGTCTAGAACTTTTTCAGGCAGCTTGGCACAAATGCTTATCATTGTATAAACAGAAGTTATGTGGATACCACAATGATTTCAACTCATGAGGACCCTATAGGGCACAGCAGAACTGCTCCCTGTGGGTTTCCTAGAATGTAACTCTTTATTGGTGTAGAAATCCTTATCTTTCTCCCTTGGAGTGGCTGGTGGTTTCGAACTGCTGAATGTGTGGTTAGCAGCCAAGTGGGTAACAGCAACTACTCCCTAGGCTAAAAAAATGCAGCCTACCTCAAGATCAGGCTCCTCCCCAGAGCAGTCCATGTCCATTGACCTAATGGAATAGGGCCGAAAGGCCTGGCTGTCTTTCCCCTGTGTGGACATGTAGTAGAGTCAGCTCAGCTCCAGCACATCCTCTGTGTTGTTGTTTGTTTGTTTTTTTACGAAAAGAAGTAAATATTTTATTTGTACACAAAGCAATTTGGTCTGAAGACACATGGTGTATCTGGCTAACTCATGAAAGTCGCCCTAAGTGAGAGGAGGGTGTTTACAGCTGTTTGTATCAATTTGCTAAGCAGGGAGGGGCCTGGAACAGACACTGATTCGGTGTGGGGACACAGTGGACAATTGGACATGGGCTCCCTTGCTGGGTTGAAGCAGTGGGGGGAGTGGTGGGGGACAGGACAGCCACAGCCTCCCCTTCAAAGGCGGCTCTGTACAAGAGAGCACTTTCATCACAGGATTCCAGGG